CTGTTACACTCAAAAATCATAGATGGCGCTGGCAGATGTCGGTAGAATTTTGTATTAGGAACGCATAATATGAAAGGAGGTTTATCGCTAAACCAGTTCCAAGAAATGACGTCATTTCCAAGAATTCCATGGACAATACTTTTGCCACCTCGACGAAAACTTTTCGAGCGATTTCGCGATTTTGTATCAGGATAACATAACACGAAAGAAGGTCTATCTCCGAGACATTTCTAAGAAATGACGCCATTTCCAAGAATTCTCGGACAATAGCTTTTGCCGCCACGATGACAAATTTCTGACCGATTTTGCGATTTTGTATCAGGAGAACATGACATGACAGGAAGTCTATCGCCGAGACAATTCTAAGAAATTACGTCATTTCCAAAAATTCTCGGAAAATACTTTTGCAACCTTGCCGTAAAATTTTCGGCTGATTGCACGATTTTATACTAGGATAACATGACATGACAGGAGGTCGCCCGCCGACCGATTCCAAGAAATGACGTCGTTTCCAAGAACTTTTGGACAATGCTTTTGCAGCCTCGGCGAGAAAATTTCGACCGTTTTAGTGACTTTGTATTAGGATAACATAACATGATAGGAGGTTGCTCGCCGACCAAGAAATGATGTCATTTCCAAGAATTCTCTGGATAATACTTTTTCTGCTTTGCAGTACATGTTAATTATTTTACTTACCTTATACTTACCTTACTTACTTACCTTTCTCTACTTGCGTTTCTTTTCTTACTTATCTTAATTCCTCTTCATTTAAATATCATTTAAGCAGATATTGGCCACTCTCTATTTTCAGAATTCAAAGTGAACATTGAAAATTTACAAGAGATAGGACATATCTTAAACTTTGTGCGTAGCTCTCAGCTTGGTATCGTTTTACAAAAATTATTTTTGGAAAACGATACCAATTACCAGGTCTCACCACGAGGAGGTGGCTACGCATCGAGACCCGACATGCGCCCTAGTGGCGCAGCCTGCTGGCGCTATCTGTATCAAAGGTACCCTAACCTAACTTGGAGCGAAAGAAGTTAAAGTGAAAATCTACTGACACTTTATTATACTTCGTGTCTTATAAAGGGGATTTCGATTCGGTATACTACAACTCTATTGTCGCGACACTAAGATACTTTATTTCTCATAAAAATAGGAAATAAAATATAAAACACGCGAGCAAGTTAAAAATCGCGATCGCGCCCGAACGAGGTCGCGATTATTCGAAAGACCGACTAGCCTACGAGACGTACTCTCGTGTACAAAACAACTTCATGCCTCGGCACCCTCCCGATCGGGCCTAGTCCATATCCAGTCACTGCCATACTCGTCAAGACTTACACGTGGACCAAGGATAGTCCCCGAACCAATGAAACTTCCAGAGTCGATACGAAGGTCCAGCGGGGCCTTGCAAGCCAGACAGACACTTCGTGTCCCTGCCCCATGGGGTAGAACTTAATCATCCCAAGTGGTCTGACCGTAGACACTATGCCCGTCCAACTGCAGGCCCATGCCCCAGTCGCGTACGACCAGGGTGCTGGACCCCCGCATCGATTCCAGAAGGAACAGAGACCCGAGGGCCACCCTGGAACTCGATGCTTGACGAGATAGACAGTGGCTGGAAATGAGTGTCGGAGACGAATCGTGGGGATGTCTTATGAGACGCGAAGTTGTCGAGTACAGGGGAGTACGTCGCGCAGGCTAGTCGGTACTTAAGAACGATCGCGATTATCGCGAGAACAATTATGTTCTGTTTGGTAAACGAGTGGGATAAGAGAGGAAAGATATGAAATAATATATTCGCTCCAAGTTAGGTAGTTTACCTTTATACAGATAGCGCGCACATGAGACTTAGTCTAGGTATCTATCTTATAACTACTTAAAAATAGACACACTCATCCTTCGTCGTTTATTGGTGTGTCCTAAATGAAGTCCTGAGGAAACTTGAGAATCTTGAGAAACCTAAAAGCTAAAACAGAATACTTTATTGTTAATATGAACCTGAAAGAAAACGGATTAGTACGAGGAGAGAAAACGAATGAACAGAAACCATGAAGGTTAACCAAGTGGAAGGAACAACCCACTGATGAGACAAAAAGAAACCAACGACGAAATATTCGAATTTTTAAGTAAAAATAAAATCTGTAAAGAGAAAAACAATTAAACGCTGGAAAGAAAAAAAAATTAAAATCTGGAAAAATAAAAAAATTATTAAGAACCCAACGATGAAACATGAACAACCTAACTATGAAATATGAACAACCCAACGATGAGACATAAACAACCCAACGACGAAACATTTGAATATTATACGAAATATTCGGAATGTCAAATAAAAATAAATGAAAAGGAATAAATAACATCTGAAAAGAAAAAAAATAATTAAAAGCTGAAATAAAGAAATAATTAATATCTGAAAACAAAATAAAAATTATTAGTAAATTGTTTAGTGGGGTGGGGTGAGGCTGAGGTAGCCATCCCCAACCTCATTTCGATCCCCACCCCTCGCGCACAATGAATATTTAGATGTTACACTTCCGAAGTCGAACCGACAAATGAGTTCTGCTGCTTCGCGTCGCCCCTTATATAGCCGTCGATCGGCCGAACTCCCCACCCCGATCAAAAATTTTTCAACTTTATCGATTCCATTATTTATTATTTTTCCGCTTTAATAACCAATAATTTATTAATTTTTTCATTTTTATTATAAGCTTACATTCTGGACAATTTGTTATTAACAAAATTAATTTGTTATTAACAATCAGTGTAATAATTTATAAATTTTTTGTAAATTATAAATACATTTTAACACAAGTACTTCATAAATTTAAGTAGTAGTCAATAATTTATTAACTTTTTCACATTTATTATAAATTTACGTTGTAAACAATTTCTTATTAATAATAAATTTGATAATTTATACATATTTTATAAAATAAAACTGCATTTGTACCGCCATACGATAAATTTCTATGATACGTATATATATGTCAAAATATTTTTATCTCCTCTATATTTTTTGTTGAAATGAAGTATTACACGAATAATAAGAACGTGATATATATAGATATATATACATCGTGATGACATATATCCATGTGATATATATAAAAAATGAAATCTTCTAAACGAAGATTTTGGTTTCCATTATGCACGGCGACGGCCCTGGCGAAGCTAGATGTGCGAGCAATGGCTGCATGGCGGCAAAATCCTTCTTACAAATTGCCGATATATATTTTACCGTCCTGTCAATATCGAACATCATTCTAATATTGTTTCAGGATAGTTTCTTCTTCAGAAAAGACCACAGAATACGCTACTGTGGAACAAATTCGTGTCACATAATGAACTTTTTATAAAAATGCAAGAATATGTGTAGAAAATGTGCTTGGAAGCTTATTTTTAAACTTCGATGATCAATTATAGTTATTCAGAAGCACAAATAATTATAATTATGGACACTGATAAACTCGAGAACTTTTCACCTAACTTTAAATATTGCAATGAATCTCTTAATGTTCTTATTTTTTACGTAATACTTCATTTTGGTTATAAAATCGTGTCTTTTTAGAACTCACATTTTTCGAAAATTGGGTGATAGAGTAATTAGGATTATAAATTCGTGTTCAGGAATCACTATCTACGAGAATCACCTACTTTATATCCCAGATTAGAGAAAAAGTTAAAATTTGTTAAATAATGTAACCAATATTTAAATATCAAAATCACAGGAATAAATATTTCCTACTCTGTGCATATACTATCTTAAAATTACATGTTAAAATGTTTTTATAAAAGATAAAACTTATAGATTTATAAATTTACCAATAATGTCCGTAATAAATAACTTATTTATAACTAAAAAAAGCAATACCACGAAACAGCTGACAATACATAAAATGATTGAATGATTATTCCCAGCTATTTCTTCAAACTTGCCACAGGATATGATGGAGTCTCGAGATTCGAAGATTGAACGTGTGATAGATTCCATTTGCGGAGACTTTGAGATTATGGTCGCCGCAAGCACGACAGATCTAGATCATAATGCATCTCACCGAGTTATAAATGCAAGATGGTCTACCTGGGTTATAATTGACTTCGAAAATGATGTAGCCTCGAGAAAGGTTGCTTGTGAACATCTGTTTACGAAACAGAAAGTATCTACTTTTTACTTTGTCTTTATCTCGAAAGCTTCCGACCATTGCGAACATAAAATGATCGATTGCGTTCCATTCGTTTGAACTTGCTTAAGTTAAAACAGAAGATGGAGGACCTCTGGGCTTCTCCAATACTGCTGATGCATAACAGAAATTTTTTGAAGCTGTTCTCTTAGTTCCTTGGCTGAGTTATTTCTTCAGTAGACTATTATTAATCTTGCTACAAAGAGAAAAGAGCCAGAGATGATTAATCTACTGTTCTAAACTGATGTATTTAGGAAGTAACCTTTTTGCCAATTATCGCTTAAATTATTATTAATATGCATATGTTTTGTATTAAATGTTTATAAATTCATAAATGGTAACTTTATTAATGGTAATAAAAAGTATTAACATTATCAAATATATGATAATACTTCTCTATAACTTAATTATAAATACCTGAGAAATATTCGTGCTACTGCATCAATTATTTTATAATGCACATTCATAAACTAATATATATTTTTACAAGAAATTTGCTATATGATTATGTTAAATGCACATGTACAATTAACATAATCATACAACCACCATTAAGATGTACTTATTCTCATAATAAAAATATTCTCAAATTACCATCCACCTCTTTCACAAATTGAACAATATAAAGGTTACTTTTCCATCATCATTTACCTCCACGACTAATTTTAAGACTTAAAACAGTATCTTCAAGGAAGCAAAGAAAGGAATAAATAAAATGTAGATAAAGAACAATTTCCACGAAACCAATGTTCAACTCAGGTCAAACAATGATCGTTATCCTTGGAAATATGATTCGAGTATCGTGTCGCGTCCTCGAGGTATCCTCTTTAGCTGGTTTTGTTCTTTCTTCGTTCTCCAGTCGGTCACTCGAGCTTGGTGGTTAGAGAGATGGCGTAAATTCCACCGATTTGCTCAGCTCACGTTTCACCGCGTTCGAGCGGCGACGTTTCATGATGGGGAACTGCGGCGGAGGGTGGAGAGGGTCTACAGTTATAGGCGCGGGAAAATGATCGGAAATTGTTAAAGACCGTTTCCAACCGCGGCCACTTGGCCGCTCATGTCGGCTCCTTTCGACGATGCAATTTCCTGCTCACTCCCCGTACACCAACCCTTTTGTTATTGATTAAAGACAAGGAACCCTCCGGACACAGGGCCCTTCCGAGATCACGCTTCACTGATCGCAGAGAAAATTATTTTTTTCGGTTCCGTGAAGAGTCTTTAAAAGCGTTGTTTATGGGCCATGTATCTAACAAAAGAGAAAGTAGTGTATGTAAAGAATTGAAACTTTTTGAAAATATAAAATATAAAATAATTAATAATACAACAATATCAATAAACATTTTAGACAGCGTAATTTAAATTTACACACTATATACATATTAACAGTAAGTGTTAATATTCTATTTAGCCTTCATATTAGATAACATACATTTAAAAAAATGGAATCGAAATTGTTAATTATTAAAAAGTTCTAAGTGAAATACGAAACCTTTATGCAACCCAATAATTGCACGCAACTTTTGTGTTTTCTCAAAGTAAGTCGTGTCTGCGCCGGTTGACTGAATTACCACCACGTCGAGTCTCATCGGTTAGAGTGAGGCTGAAAGAAAAAGAAAATAAAAATGAGAAGAAAGAAAGAAGGAAAAAGAGAAGCAGTAACCGCAAGAGGTATCGGTGCTGCCAACTGACCCCGACAGCTCGACCTTTAAGTTTCTTTATTAGGGTGCAGCATATGTCGTACGTGTGATGAACTGGTTAGATAATTTGTCCTCAGTGCTGAGGGATTGCTGTTATTAACCCTTTTCACTGGACTTGTCTCGCTCGCAAATTGACAGGGTGCATCCTTACGTGAGGAGCCAGGCTCATGTTACGCGACCGATAAAATGACACTCTAACCTACCAACGTACACGTTGCCTGTCTTGATGTATTATGCCAGTGCGTCTGCCACTGTAGTCGCTACGTGCCTTGGCCTTTTTCTATATCGTCATTGAAAATGAAGCTTTTGCGGTATTATGTCAAATTGGTTTTAGTATCCTGTTATATCCGAACCTTTTTCCTTTTAGTCTCTGAAAAAATATTTTACATTAAAAAATTACATTAAAAAATTTACATTAAAAATTGAATTAGTAAATTTATAGCGAGCTTGCTTGGAATTGTAAATTTATGCAAACGGTTTCTTTCCTTAGAGATAATAAAATTATATTTCTTTATTACCTTTCCTGAATTATTTTCGAAATATATATTAGTGTCTACTTGCATGTGACATGAATATGACAGATATGATATTTTATGATAATCATAATTCTGAATTCATATAAGGAAAAATCTATAAAAATCTGAATTTTTAAATTTTAATAATACGAAACTTCTTCAGTAGTTTCATTTCTCCTCGAACCAAGTAATGCAGCTTTACATTGAAATTAAGGAAGTTTGCATTCGACACGCGAGGAAAATTCGTGAGTAACAAAAGAATAAAATATCCAAGCTCCTAGGGATTTTCCCCTAAATTGAAAAACTCGCATTCGTATTGTAGTAAACTAGCCAAAATACGGAAACGAAAAGAATAGTGTAAGCATGTTGCTTTGTTAATAAAGTCGAAATAAAATCTGCATATGCATTAAACAAAACTACTGAAAGAAGAAGTACGAAAGAAGAAAGCTCCATGGATAATATTACCTCTAATTAAGAAGCTCGTATGATAGTTATTTTTTGCGAAATATATTAATTAAAAAAAAAGTGATATGAAGAAAGTGAAATTTTTATATTACAATAATACAAACAGAAAGAAAATAAAACCACAGAACTCGACCTTTAAAAAAATTTACATTTGATTACTACTCTACAGAATATTACGTTATAAAAATTACTAACCTGACGCTTGTACTTAAAGCTTATCATTTTTCGTATAAGAACGTCGTTGTACAGAATACAATGATATAGTATTAAATTACAAATATGCCAAAAAATGAAAGATGTATCTGAATGTTTATCAATGTGTTAACAATCAGCATATTATCAAACTCTTACTCGTCAAAAATCATTTGTAATAAGGACTCTACGAATATAACCTAAAAACTACCGCAGTGTGAATTTCTGATTAACACCTTTTCTCGAAAAAATTCACTTGTGTTCGCATTATTAGCAGAGAATGAACGACGATTGCTGTCTAAGGAGAAAACGAAAGCGATGAAAGAAAAGAAACAGACAAACAGGGTTTTAGGAACGAACGGAGCCCGGTGCAATAATGCACCTGATAGCTCGGTGACTGTTAGCGCGTGCCAACAGCCGGCGGCTGCTACCAGCTGCGACGAAACTGCACGCTGGACCCGATCACTCTTGTCATTACGAACGGCGATCTTCACCCCCTCTATCGTCATTACTTTCAACCGGTCAGTTGTATCACATGTTTCACACGAATGCAACGGTGGTAGGAAGATCATTCTATGCAAGTAGAAGAGGTATTTTTGAAACACCGATGATTATCTTTCTCATAATTTAAACTTCATTTACATGTAATATGATTAATGGGTTGTTCTCTGTATGTAATTGGGTTCGGTTATGTGTACTTTCACCAACGCCATGGGTAACATACGAAATAAAGAAATAGGGTCAACTACAGATGCTCGTTAATATAAATTACAGAAGATTTTCTGGTAAATATAATTTTTTCAAAAATCAATTTATCAACTGAGGGTATGTTTAGCACATTTGTATGAATTAATATATTATCATGTAAGTGTTATTATGGTATTTTTTTTTTCGTTAATTATAACGAGGGATATTTAAACATTTCGTATAATTTTAATTCAATAATTTTCTGTTTTGCGAAGAAAATTTTTATGTTTAATTTTACGAATTAAATTAATAACATTTTACTATTAAATTAGCTTAAATTAGATTAATAACATATACCATTATACAATAATGTAGAGAGTAGTTAAGAGGTTAAGTTGAAATAATTAAGTTGTTACTATATTTATATTTGATTTTTATTTTTAGCAAAATAAATCATAATAAATCTACGAACGATTAACAAATTTGTTAATAACAACAAATTTGTGTAAATTAAATTTATTATATCGCGCTTTATAACCTAAAAATGTCATTGATTGATTTGAATACTCAAGTAAAGTGGTTTTTAAGGTCGTTATTTGCATGTGAGAAGAAATCAAACTCACGATTGAGGATCGGAAGGATAATGTGAGGATAATAAGGGGGACCGTAAAGCTACGAGTAATCCTAATTTGCATGTTGACTGAGCGCATATTCTGTCTGTGTATCTCGATCCCGATTTGAGGCACAACGAAAGAAAAACGCAAGGTGTTCTCGTAGTCAGGTGGCTTTATCCTTTGGCACCTGTTCTTGATGCTACGCGGTAAATTTAGAACAAAATGGTTCCAAGCTTTACGACCACGCCTGATTTATTGAAAACGGGCATTGAATATTCTATGATTCGTTAAAATAATTTATCAGGTGTTACCATCAGATTTATTTACGTTATTATACTTGGAATAATTTTATTATTTTTATTAAGTTTAAAATTATTAATTTGCGAACAATTAATTAATTTTAAATCATGAATTATCATGTGTAGTTAAATATACCTTCGTATTTGAAAATTATAATTTTAAATATATTATATATATTATACTGCAAATTACATGTTATTATTGATAAATTATTTTAGTTTTAATTTTACGTATTTAAAAATGGAATTAAATATGTTTTCACTGCTTATAACTTAAAACATTAATGACAAGATGTGAATGTGGACAGCTGCATGCTGGTGCATTTATTGCTTTTTACCATGCCTCTTGAAATGAACTGTACTTTATTGAAATAAACGGTACTTACCACGTTGTTCTTAATAAATCTAAAGACCTGTTTTATACCGTTTTTATCGTCTTACAGCAATAAAGCTTAACGATCACGAAAAGGGAAGGAACTTTTTGTAACTTTTATAATTTTACAATACCTGAAAGAACTGCAAACCATCGGTCGATTCAGAAATTCAAAATATTTCATACTCTATCAAAAGACTCTAACAGTAGGTCAAATATGAATTTAAAAAATTTAGACATTTGAAATTTTTCTACACATTTCTAACTATTTTCAATTTAATTAACTCAAACACTGTATATATAATAACTATAACTAAGAAATTACACAATTTTCACAAGTTTGAGGAGTATACCTTCTTAGACTTTCAAAATCTGATTGACGAGCCAGATAATTTTTTAGAGAATCGAAAATTTGATATAATTAATCTAATTTTGTTACATGAAACAAAGAATTAAAGATTTTTCAAACAAATTTACTTTCAAAGACTTAGGCTCTTCCATTAGGCTCTAATCAAACCGAGTTTACAATATGGTGTTTAAAAGAATCACATGCTCAGATTCACCACAGCCATAATCGATTAAAAATCTGAAAAATGTCGCAGCCTTTTAAGATAGCTTGCTATATAACAACTAAAAGCAACACAAGCCCCGAATGTCGATTAAATTCCCTCTAACCAATTGCATCTGCCCTTGTTCCAGGTGAGCGAAGCCAGGCCACGCATCAGGCATCAGAAAGGCGGCAGCCATTGCAGCAGATGTGGTCCAGGCTGGGGTGTCGTGAATCGTTGTGTTCGTGGCCGCGACACCGAGTGTGGAAAATGTGCACCAGGCACCTACAGTCCACATCACAGCACCCAGCCTTGTTGGATCTGTTCTAGGTGTGGTCCAGGCCTTTATGAGGCACATCCTTGCACCTCTAAAACGGACACCGTCTGCGACTCCTGTCACAGACCAGCTCCAGATAACCCTGACTACCAGAGAAAGTGTAAAGGACGATCGAATCTGTTTCTAGCACCTGAAGATGCATTGGGTACTGGAGAGGAGAGCATTCTGGTGAACGAACCTTACGGCCAAGATCAGTTGGATGATGGAAAAGAAATTTTAGAAAAGGATGCAGAAGCAGCTATTCTGAACAGAGAGCTGAATTCCTTGGAAAGGTTCTAAATTTCAGATCACTGAGCCCAATCGATCAGTGGAACGTTAGAATGCAACCAGTTGCTGTTACTTTCTTCCTGTTTCTGTGAAGACACTTTATGGAAAGCGCTCAGTTAATGTGGACAAAGGCTTGCTTACTATGATTCCTGACATCACGTCAGGGATGCTCAGCAACCTTCTTCTGTTCAAACTGTAGAGAACTGAAGCTTTTGTTCGCTGGAAATTCGAGATCTCCTTGGACTGTGAACAAATTTTTCGCCTCCTCTAAGTTAGAGATCTTCTTGAGCTATGGACGAATCTTTTGTTCTCCTAAAATTAATTATCTTATTAGACGAAGAAGCTAATAATTATTGAAAATTGGACATTTTTGAGAATGATGATGAAGTTGGATACCATTTGTTGGATATACAGAATCTACACGGATTGTGAAAGAAGCTTTCGGTTTCTGATATCGTTTCAAATGTTTCTGAAGTTTTGCAAGATCCCTTTTAAATGCTGAGTAAATGGAAATAAGCGGAAAGGAACATCTTCTTATTTGGTTTCGACGAATCGTCTTGCTGGAAAAATTGGAAGACCCAGATGCCTGGAATACCGAATTTCTTTGAAAACATTCACAGGTTTGAAAAGAAGAAGATTGCTGGTAATTTTTTGGGCTTTAAATGAAGACTTCCTGCAAGCAGATAATTAGAAATTCGGACCGAGTTCAAATAGAATTCTGTTCAGAAGGGTGAAGACTATGACCAAACCCAGCAAAGTTAGGTGTTTCTATAATTTGGTAAATGTTGAAGGATTCTGAAGTTATGAATCAAATTTGAACTGCTAGTTAATGAACAAAGAGACTGGATTTTTAGAATATGTGCTTGTCCTTTAGAAGCTGCTCAAAATGTATAACTGTAGGTCAATTACAGATACTTAATTATACAATGCAATGAAATTGCATGAAAAATTGAACAAAAAATCAAATGAAATATGTTAATATACCATGAAGTATATTAATTAACACAGTTAAGTGAAGCCTGCTTTTTATGATTTTTCAAGATTTTATGTTTATACCAGTCTATATCTGAATGAATAGAAAAGATTTATTCAGAAAAAGATATGTTCACAAAAATAAGGTAAAATTTATGCTACGAGGATAGTTCATTTTATACAATATATATATATATATATCTGTAATTGACTTTACACGAACTACTTATACAGACATCGATTCATTTATATTTCAATAATTCTAAAATTCTCAGCCAATGTATGAAACTATAAATAAGAAAGGTTATCCGAAGAACACGAATTCAGATGGTCGATGGTCGTACGTTAGGTTGAAACCTAATCAAAACTACTTCTCAACTCTGGTGCTCGTTCTTTTCAAATTTCATATTAATTTTTCCTCGCGTATCTTAATAAGTATAAACATTCTTCGAAGAAGAAATGATCGACTTAGATCGATCCTCAGTTGCTAGTCAGTTAGCGGTTAAGTAGTCGATAAGGATGTAACATATGAAATCGACACGACGTAACGTTCAAACATAAATGTACACACGTATTTTATTTCGTAATAATCATTATAATTGACCTCTGAATATAATGTATATTATTGCGAACACATTCGTATTCCACCGAACAGATTATCATATCTTACTGTCAATAGCTTGTTATATAAATATGGTACTTGGGAAATCCAGTTTGTCGTGATGTCAAATGTTCGTTAAAAGGCATTAATTTCATTGTCCACTTCAAATTAAATGTTTGGAATTGTTATGCAACGAATAGGAGAATTTTCTTATAAAAAAGGTCTAAGTATATTATGTAAATTTAGGTAAATTTAGGTAATTTGTGGTTAATTATTTTTCTTAATGAAGATTTGATGGTAATAGGATTTTGATCAAACAATTCTAAACATTTACTAACCATCGGTAGCACACTTTAAAGCAAAATATAAATTTAGAAAGGAATTCTACCTTATCGACCAAATCATCGGGTCACATGGTATCACTAATGTGTTAAATTATGAATGAAATCGAATATATTCATTAATTTTTTATACTTTTATTTACGTTACTGTGACTTCCCAAGTATCTTTGATCCTTATTTCCCATTCGTTCGAATGAAATTTTGGATACATATTTAAGCGCATTTTGACTGTAGATCTCTGTATACTATAACGTACATTTACGATATAAGCATATTTATGTATACCCAAAGATCTCTCGCGTTATCTGGATGTGTGCGAATTCTCTCTGAAAAATTGTTCTCCATCATAAAGAAAAAAAAAGTTATCTGTATCTTTTTGTAAAGAATTTATAAAGAGTTCGGAGAACTTTCTTTTTTTCTTATGATGAATTAGGTTTATTAGATAGAATTTAACTTAATTTTAGAAAATGAATTCATTTTACGATTGTTAAGTTATGAAATTTAATAAAAACGTTATACAGAATGTTAAAAAGTGATGCGACAAATTAAAATTGTTTATGATTTTGTAACTAAAATTTCATTTTTGGAATATAAACTTCCGTTCACGCGAAATTTGAATACCAGAAAGAACATGCACAGGTTATACATAATGCATATATATAATTTTGTGTGAAAACTTAAATGACTGGTATATTTCGGTTATATATTTTATAACGCTGACAAATCTCAGCTAAACATTCTACGATTTGATGTTACGAATTCGCAATAGAATGCAAAATAATAATACCATACCAAACTTTTGGATAGTAATGTATGTCCAAAAATTACCAAAAGCATTTTTCACTAGAAGATCTCTTTAAAAAGATTCAGTGCTACAAGATGAGCGTATTTTAGTGTTACTACGTGTGTATACACGGCACTATAGATCATTCGTGTACGCACAACATGTAAATACACTTCTGTAAATATAGAAGCTATAACGATATAATTCAATTGTTGCATTAGAAGGTACAACCGGAACAAAGCCGGGGATTTCTGTCATTCGATTAATATCTTATTTTTGTGTTCTTTGTCCACGATACGTCATCAATTTTTGCAAAAATACGATTTGTGAATTTAGGTTAAGTTCGCATTGTTAGTTGCAAGTTCTATTATTTCTTTTATTTCCAATTAATCGAAAATTTAAGTTTTCTTCCCTCAATGCTTCCATTTGGACTGTTACAAGTAAATAGTAAAAATTTAAAACTATTAATGAAATGCATTACTCAAAGTATTTAATATTTATTTATTTTCTCTTATCTGATTATTTAACTTATCTGTTGTACCTCTCAAAATATTGAATAAGTTTTAATCATTTGAGTGCTGCATTACATGTAATAATATTTACAGAAAAAAATCTCCACGGTCAATATTTGTTTATATCATGTAATTCAAAATCAATTATTTATATAATTTTATCGTTGAACAACTACTGGGATTCAATATATATGGTCCTTTTACATAAATTTTAACAAATCTCAGTTGCAGATGGAAATTCACCAAAGCACCATTATACTTTCTATTCGCTTTATTTATTTACGTCAATGTTCATTCCATTGATGGACGTAGCCGCAAGAGACACGTCTACTATAGACACAATAAAGTACAGATATAATAATCTATATAAGTTCTTTCTTTTTGTTTTCATTGTTCCTTCACCTCTATCATGTTCACACTCGAAAAACCATAGAAAATGTCTACATATTCCTTCAACACTTGAATATACGTTTGCATGAGTAGCTAAAACCTCAAAGTGAAACTATTATCGCATCTTGACGAAATACATTTTGTATCAGGTATGTAATTTTCCACATGTTAATTTATATCATTCGAATTATTATGTACAGTGTACTACGATGTACGTACATAATAACCATTATTAAAGAAAAAGAAAAATAATTACTCTCGAGATGATACAATACGCGCTATATATGTATATGAAGTTCGATGATAACCTTTTTCTCTATTTACTTTTATCTGTAAACGTGATGCAATTCTCAACTTGTGTCGAGAACGACACCTTGTCTCTGGGAATTAGGAATTACAAACACTCGAGATTCTCGGTCGATAACAGTAGTTTCGCGATAAAATTAAAGTTCAATATATTCAACATTTTAAATCGGATACCAACTTCACTTAACCTCACGTTGTCACTGCTACCATTTTAGATTATTATATTAATATAATAATTAATACTTTATATTATGTTATATTAATATGATTTTAAACTTTACATCATATATTTATGGATTTTAGAAAAATTTTACTCACTTTACTTATTTTTTTCTGTAAACATGATTTCAGTCAATTGGTAGCAATAGAAACGTTCGTGATGTACTCTGTGCAAACAAAATACCTACATATATTACCTCGCATCAAATGTGTTGGTATTATCAAGAATCGTTATATAGATGATAGTGACGATAATATAATGCTCTATAAATGATGTAGAACGTCGTTATATTCTCGTGCAATAAAGTCTACCTATAAAAATAAATTATTGTAAAATATATCGTAATGGGATCAATATAAATAAAACAATCCTCGCATCGATTCAACTGTAATAATTATTCTTTAGTAATTAAGGTAACCTCAACTATATGTTCTCTAGCCTTCTAAGGAACTTTGAAAATACATACAAAATGTTCACTGTTCAACTATCTGTTGTCCTGCCGAATGTAATGTATTCTTTCATCACGACAATTTTCAAAACTGTGCTATATAGTATAGATGAAGCATTTGTAAGCTACATTCGTTTTTAAATATTAAACGTAACGTATACACTTTCTTGAAGTAACCAAATACTTTGTGTCCTTTTTCTCGCATTTCATATTTGACATTACCGAACAATTGTTGCACAAAAGTGTCAAAAACGAGAATCGAATCGATTCTATCACATACTGAAAACATTCGTTTCAGGATGTTCTCGAAGTTAGGCATAAAGATAAATCGCGAACACAATTCACGGAACATTGTCGAGCAACTTCACAGCGTTCTGTAAACGTTGTGTATAATTTGTTCCTTCATTGACATAGTGTGGACCCCGAAATTTCCATACTTTCAAGTCGAATAAGAAACTGTTCTTTTCTTTTTTTTTAACATTAATTGCTTTGGCACGATGCTTGAATGCTTTGAACAAGTAAACCTACAAAATATTTTGATTTCTGTACTGTAAAGGCTACAGTAAAAGAAATTCCAATTAAAGAATCGAAAGAGGCGTTCGAATTATCGCGCGCTTTAGAATTGATTATGCGTAGAATCTTCTATATGAACGATAATTCGAACAATTTTTAAGCAAAAATTTGTTTGCATCGTTCGTTGTACTTTTAAAGTGACCAGTTCTTTTAGCATTCTTTCTTTTTCAAGTGGACGAAGTGAAAAATAGAAACATTTGTTTTTCTAATAATTCAATACAACTTTTTATAACTTTCGAATAATTGAAAATTGTATAAATTGTAGTACGAACTAAGCTTATACTGTCAAGTAATTTCTGTCCCTGAAGGATCAAATCGGAATTCTTTCATTAAAATTTTAATTACTCGATAATTAAATACTTGACAATAAAATGTAGTTCAGGCGTGGGCGACATTAATATGAAAGCCAGTCGAATAATCGAGAGCACACTTATACGAGATTATGTATATGTATAGTTTAATAATACAAATCAATAGCACTTTACAAACATACATATACGTAGAGCTAAACCATACAAAACAACGTTCGCAGAAAATTCACAAAAGACAGATTTCTTAAAAATCATTTACTGTTGATAATGAGAAAAGAAAAAGAAAAAAAAAGAAAAAACATAATTATTAAATAACTTGAGAATTTTTCAGAATCTTCCTCGTGTAAAGATTAAATGTAGAAATCTCTTTCACTAAATATCCTACTATCAATTGATAGATTAGTGATTAAATGAAATATAACCATGCGAACATTTCTTGTATTCATGCTTTGTGCCGTGTACGTCAAGGCAGACGTGCCCTAAATTAAACAGGGACAATCAAGGAACTAATACTTTCGATGGCTTAACGAATTATAATTCATAAACGCGATTAAGACATCTTTATTTTTTGTATGTAAATTTTTATGAAATACCAAAATTTCCTTCAGCGAATATAACTATATATTGTCACAGCCATAAGCGATCCATATGCAGCGTATGTATGTACATACGTTTAATTTTCGATTTTACCATGTTAATCCTAAAGAAGTTGAGGCATACAGAAGATCGGTATCCAACTTCTGAAATCTGCAATACTTCTCAAAATATTGGAATTTCTACTAAATATAAATTCCAAAATTATCAGATTTATTGCAAAGAGATATTGTCAGTGGATTATTAGCTAGATTTTTCTAATTCTATGTGAGATCAATTTCATCATATCAATGTTGAAATTATCTTTAAAGTTATTTAATTGAACTTTACTTACTTTTAATCACAATAATTCTTAGATGTGTGTTTTAAAGAATTTCTTCTGTTTTAATAAATTATTTAATTCTTTCACACACTTCGTATCAAAAGAAATATTCTTTAATTAAACTTTAACAATCCTCGATCGTTTTTAAGGATAATAAATTTTGGAAATTCATTTACATAAATTCACTGAAAATCTTTGGAATATTGAATTTTAATTCGGAAACATAGATATACTATTAAGAAAAACTTAAATGATTCCAGGATTGTAAAAATGATTCGTTGAACCATCGAAGTCTAATTACACTACACGTCTTGCATACTATAGTCACAAATAAATAAATAAAGCACAGATTATACAATAAAAAGAAGGTAGTCTAACCTACACGGAAAAATACACTGTACATCCATACTGATTGCGATACCGAACGAAGCAGTTTTTGCAACGAAGTTCGTGAGTAATAGTAACATTGAACAACTTCATAGTGTACATTGCATCTGTGCTAAATGGTTCTGACTCGATTCGAGTAGTCGATTGCAAATGTCTCTGTTAAAATCCGCTAGTTATTGCATTTTCTATAATCAATTCCTACATTGAATCTATACACGGGGACCAGAAAGCAACGAGAGACAAAGAATCGATTTATCGGAATAAATCTCTGTAGCGTTGCAATAAACGCATTTCATTAATATGTCACGATCGCCTCTCGATCAAGACATCGCAACACAATAATCTAACAATCGTGTGTCTCTGCACACATCTCAATAATTCGTATTATGTATATATTTATATATATATATATATATATATTTATATGAATTATGTATACTTTATTTATATGATATATGCATCCACGCGCGCGTGTATATATATAATATATATACGTGTCATTTGTATGTAAGTTTAAATGAATGAACATGATTCACATTTCTGCAAAGATAAACACATTGATGTGTCCAAAATTGGTGAAAATGTCATATGAATTTCGTTTAAATAATTTTTAAACGTAAATCATTTCTCAACAAATCCATGACTGGGCGATTATTTGATTATCAATTAATTAATAATTATATGTATGCCATTTATTTGTTCATAGAGTTTCGTGTTCAGAGATCGAAAGGATCGAGATATATTTTGTTACATATTTATCTGTACAAAACCGAGTAAAACCGATGCAGGAATGTCGAAACTATAAAGTAAAAAATCTAATTTCAACTTATGTAAATCGTAAGGAATCTCGATCCTACATTTTTCATTCGTCCTTCACATTTAAATTCAATTGGTGACGCACAATTAAAAAAATAGGTTTCCAAAATTACGTAACCGACTTAAATATAAAGTATTTCTATATAATATGTACTATGTATATGAATTTTCTTTGTTCATATTACTTTAAGTCAGGAATGTTCACTTCTTATATAATGTATAAATTCACATTACCCTAAATAAAAACAGAATGCAAATGTCGCCGATTCCACGTAAAATTTTTGTAGGTGCACTTACACGTATCCTGTAAGCATTTTTTGCTAGACACAGTATACTTTCAGTGTACCTCTTTTCTAAATTAAATACCATAGAGAAATAAAACGGCAATTCACAATAGGTGACGATTTAAAAGGTGTCTGAATTAAAATCATACAAGTATTTCTTATGTAGACTGTTGAATTAAATGAAAGAAAAACTAAATGTTAAATAAAAAGATTTATTCTTTGATCTTCTATTTAACATTTTTCATTTCATTCAATTCACAAATATTTAATAAACACTTGTGTAATTTTAACATGAAACATATGTATATATTAAGAACATATTCTTGAGAATGTAAGTGTTCTTTAAACTTAAATTTTTAGTGCTAATTAGTTCTCTATAGTTCACTGTTATCTGACCTCTGTAAATTTTTAAGATACACTCTCGCTTAATAGTGATTAAAATTAAAATTAAACATTGATAGCACTAAAAATTTTAAATATAGAAACATTTCAGCATCCTTAGCAATGCGTTCTCTATACAGATCTTTTTGTAGGTCATGCTAGAGTTCTCGATTCATGCTAATGCGCAAATAATACACAGTCTAAAATAATGAAAGGGAATCACAGGTAGAATAAGGAGGAAGGCTTTGAATATAAATTTATACTATATACGAACATAAAAAAAATATACATCTCGTGTTCGCATGATAAAGTAATATATAAATGAAATAGCAGGAAGGTACGATATTACAAAATCGTTATAACCTGCAAATACAGGATTCTGCGTGTCTCGTGCAATGACTTCTTGTCGGCACATTTAATCAATGGATCTCTTATGTACAATTCAATTAGAGCTTTACAATTTCCACAACAGACAGAGTAATCGTGAAGCATATGATCGCAATGCAAACACGGTTCAAACGTCGCTCAGAGCTGCTCTATTTTTCGTATTTATTCCTTTCTTTTTTTTTTTTTTCATTATCACTCGTGAAACAATAATCTCCAACATATTTGTGAATATCATCTGTACAAGATATACTACTGAAATATACATCTCACACAAGACTCGTTAAAGGTGATTAGAAAAATTCTTCTAATGATTATTTTTTCACTTTATCTCTTTCTTGTTCATTTACCTCTCGCTGAATTTAATTGCTCTCCTCTATGAGCAGAAGAATGTAACCAGCCATGGATTTTATACATCAATGTATGAGGTACAGAAAACCAAGTGATGGGAAAGGGAACAAGCGAAATAGGAGGAAGGAGATTGGGATGGGAGCAATGATTTCGAATCTACTAATTACAAGAGAAATTTTGAGCTCCGTTAAATACAAGGAAAAGTCTAAGATAAACAACTAATATCATACAACTACTGTCATCGTGCCCAAATCTACTCTCGCTCACGCAATAATAGTAATAATCTCAAAAAAAGAAACGGAAATGGGTACGAAAAAAAATCGTACGTACAAAAAAGGGAAGCTTGGAGGCATAGATAAAAACACGCCACGAGTACGTAACTTAATAAGAGCTGATAAATATAGAATTGTTATAGTCGACACAGCTATTTGATACAGTGAACTTATTGAAAATATTTGTCACTGAAAATAATAATCAGTTATAAAAATTGATTATACAAAAATGTATACTATTATCCTGACTGCTTTGCAATGTAACTCTTAAGCGTTTCATTTCTTGCAGATACTCGTGGCATGCATCTACACATCATCGAATACATTACAAATTACATTTTTTGTTTTTTTTTTTGTTTTTTTTTTCACTAAAGACACATACTAGTATAAAAAAAAGAGAAAAAAAAGTAAGAAAAAAATAAAGGTAGTATCTATGCTTGTTACCTTCATTCTTAGATTAATATTGTTCATCATAGTCATTATATGTTGTTTAGCTTTTTTGCTTTCTTTTTTTTTTGTTTTTCATATACACAATTCACTTTTATCGTATTTTCAGCCATCCTATACTTTGTTCGTAGGATTATATATGGTAACAATGTTCTGCCTACACAAAGATTCAGTTCTCATGACTGCGCTGTGAGTGTAAGCTTGGGTACAACGAATATCTCTTAACAAATAATCATCAGTATCTTTTTGAACGTCGAGAGACGACATTCTTCGGTGATCACGATATGTCTTCCCACGGCGTCTGAATATATCTTAAATTAGTTTCACGCCTGCTAGGCCGTTTAAAATTGGTCCACCAGCAGGTCGCAGATCTCTACTGACATCGATTCCTTACTCGAACGTACTGTCAAACGAAACATCTACAAAATGACAAACAATAGATATCAAATAACTTATTTAATGTAAAGCTCGATATAAATAACTTTGAAAAATACCTGCGCTTGTTTATTAGGTTCTAAACGTAACAAACACCCTACTTGTTGTGCCCTCATATGTACTATTCCCGCGCAAACAAAATTATCGGGATTCGGATCGATACCGTCAAGTAATTGCATTCCAAATCCTTGCAATTTCGTGCGAACTTGCGCAAGATCCATCGGCTGTTGTGCTTTAAAAATCTTCTGTGAACGTTGTTGATTTGCTCTAAAGATATTCATATAATGTTATGTAACGTTCTTTTATACTAAGCTATTTTTATTTGGACAATATGCATATATGTTAGACAATTCTCAAAATTAAATAAATGTATATAACTAATCTTCGATATATTGAATGAAACAATAAATTTTAAAGAAATGTAATAGTTTTAGTCGAGAAAAATAATAAAAATGGAAATAGAGATGCATTATTTAAAAACGTCACATACCCTCCAAGATTTTTCCACCGGGCAAAGAATGATTCTCCATTCATTTCTGTAGGTTCGAAGAATTTGTTGATTGTTAATGGTAACTTCATCGTTATTTTTTGTGGCACATTGTTACAAATAAAGGAGATAATCATACTCGGTGCATCTATATAGAAAAAAGGACGTACTTAGTAATTCTAAATTAAATAGCAGTAATTTAATATCATTTATTCGGCTTTTCTTAGAATGTGATGTAATTTGTCGTACCGCTGTAGTCGTCAATACATTCTGCATTGATCATTTGTTGTATTTGAGCACCAGCTTCTAGTACAGGATCGACTGGCTTTACTTGTACAGCTAATTTTTGTTGGCTTTCCTCGGACCAAGATAACTGAGGTTGAAAGCTATGAAGAGCATACTGAGTTTTATTTCCGTAAAAAAGTCCAACACGTCCCAAGTTCTGCCTAAACTCCGATTTTACTCCAATTTGAATTAAGTCATTTTCAAACAAAACACCATTATTCTTACACACGAATCTATAAATCACAGCATATATAAGTTAGAATAATTTTATTCTTTCCTCTTAAGTGAGTACTTTTTGAAGTAACATACTTTTTGGGGTTATATGTGTTCTGGGCACCATTAGTAGCGACTTTGTTTGGCATATTATAGATATCACCTAGTACGTCGAGTAAAACTCCCGTATTGCTAGTTGGTTGAGAAGATGGAGGTGTAGAAAGACTTAACAGATCTGCCGACGTGTTATTAACAGCTCCTGCTGCAGGGATAGGTGCTTCTACATGATGATTAGTATTTGGTGCAGGACTTTTACTTTCTCTGATTTCATTTTCAGGCACTCGACCTGGTTTCTTCCTTTTCAAAACAGCGAGGATAGAAGATTCTCTTTCTGGAAATGCTGGCATTTCTTCTAATACTGTAGCCTATTAAAAAAAATTATTAATATTTACTAACATTTTTTAAGATTATATAACATTTCGTATTCCATAGAATTTTAAATCATTTTAATTAAAGTTAATTTTGCTTTGATTTATTGTTTACCAGAACATCACTAGAAGCAATAATGCTCAACTGAAGATACTCTGAAGCTCTTTGTTGTAGCTCTGCATCTGCGCTGCGTAAGTTGCTATGTTGTCTAAAAATGTCTTGAATTTGACTTCTCATTTCAGGAAAGAGATTAACAAATTTGATATAAGTTGAAAGTAACAATGCCCGGGTCATTGGAGAACATAAGTGATACTGAAAAATAAAATAAAAACAAGTTAATATATTATGTATGAATTTATAAATACATTAAAAACTTACTTTGGAATGTAATAATTGAAATTGAACAGCTGGAGAAGAACGCTGGTCGCCAGCAATGAGATTTCCAAACTCTCCAAGTATGTAACCACCAACTTTAACCATATTTTCGTGGCAAGCTGGTGCTTGTAAGGCCTAGAAAATATTACAAATAATTAATATGAAAATTTGTTTATAACGGAATACTTAGATGAAAAATATATAAACAAATTTACGTTATCTACCTCGAAAACAGTTTTTGCTGCGTATCCTTGTACGTCATCTCTATTGATAACTATTTGGATAACTCTGTACCATACTTCTTCCGAAACATAATCACCAGCTATCCTAATAAGATTTAAAATGACGTCCACATACCAAGTGTAATCGGTAGCATACTTTTCGGCTAAAATTGCTACTTTAAGAACCATTTCTTCTCGAATAGAATAATCAGCAGTTTCGAGGTAGTTTAACATTTCTTGTACTATTTCTTCTGCATTGCTTTTATCACACATAGCATACAAAAGATCAACAGCCTGTTGTCTAACAGACACATCCTTTTCCATCTTCATTGAAAGAATAACAACTTCTTGATGCTTCTTTACAGCTTCATGTGAAAGCTCTGATGTAGCAAGATGGCACATGGATTCAAGTGCTAAGTAACGAAGGTTAGTTTCACGATTGGATAGAAATTGTCCAAGTTGATTGCATGCTCTGACTGATAAAGGCAGTTCACTGTCATTATGGATAATTAAACTAATGGCTTCAAATAATACAGCATTTTTTGCATTGGAGTGTTGCACCTTTTTTGATTTTGGTGGTTCTTGAGCTTTATTTAATATAGTTTCTAAACATTCATTTAATCTACCTTTTACTCCTGGATCTTCAGCTGTTGAAAAATTATAGACAAAATAAAATTATTTACTTAATTATCTTAATATACCATAAAATTTAAATAAAAATAATTTACCAGGTGGGGTGTAATTCTGTAATAACCGTAAAAGTTTAACAGAGAGCCATGGTGCTGGCACAAAATAATATGTATAATCCTGTAGGTCTGTATAGCTCGATGTCACAATCTATTGAAATATAATAAAGATCAAACAATTATTTTTTGATCATGGGTTGGACTAACAAATTATGCCATACCCTGCTCAATCTTGAAACAGCTAAGCTGACACATCCTTTGTACTCATATGAATTTCTTTTTACAAGTGCATCTATTAAAGATGCAGCAGCAGTAACAACACCAAGATGTTGATCGTTTAAAAGATGGACAATACGTGAAGTCCACTCTCCACCAGGTACAACATCTGGCGCGGTACGCAATAGCCGTAATAAACATAGTGCTGCACTTTGTTTTACAACGTCCATTGTATCTCTAGAATCGAAAATTAATTTATAATTACTTTAAGTTTCAGTAGTGATAAATAAGTGAAAAATGTTTATTGTATTTACATACCCAGATACGAGTAATTTTGGTATTTCATTACCAAAAGCCTCTGCCATTTCTTTACTGCCAATATTAGCAATACATTGTAATGCAAGATTTACATGAATTGGATTTCGTGATGCAAGATCATTCTTTATACTCTGAATTATCAATTTAATGAGATCACTATTTGTATTTACTAAGACTGATATGAACAGGTAGCCCTAAAATATATATTTTTATATACTTAATTTTTATTATTATCTTATTAAAAAATAGTAACTTTAATTCATATACTTGAATAGTAACAATATAATAACAATTACAATAAAATTCATATTTAATATAATTGATACATACATTATTAATTTTAATGTATTTTAACACTTACAATCTGTTTCTCTGAATATTTGTTAGATGAAAGTAGATTAACGGCTTCCATATGTCCAAAGTCAATGTCATGACCAAGCAAGAAAATAAAAAGGAGCTTGCAAACATATTTCTTTTTTTGATAACCATCAAGTGTCTTATCTCCTTTGAATTTACTACGAATATTTGCCAACTCTTTATTTATTCTCTTAATTTCTGCTTCTTTGCTTTTACCTAATAAAATAAACAGAAAAGAAAAAACTAGATAAAAATTTGTTTAATCTTGTTACAGATTATTTTTGTGATCATAAAATAAGATATAAAATTATTGTTAATATGCATTTATACATATATTGCATATAACTATACATTTCTGGTAGTTTTTATAGAAAACTATAATGGCTACATGCCACTTGGACCGGCATCAAAATACAGATGTATTGATTTGCTCTATGTGAGTCAATTTCTGATTCTACTTCTTATATAATTATTTATTACATTAAGTGAAAAAGATATTATATAGTTAAAAACCTTGTTATTTTACTTTTTATTCATATCTGTAAGAGTTTCCTAAGGAAACTGGAAGTGTTTTAATATTCATTTATTATATTATGCCAAGTATTACATATTAGTGTTTGAACCACAAGCTATATCAGAAAGATATGCCTATATCAGAACTCCGCCCCCTGTCTCCTACTCTTCACTGTTTTATATATTTTGCGTGTCACATTAGTTTCAATGGCACCATATCTCTTAACAAAACATGGATTAAAATTTCAATGAGCCAAAAGTTAACTTATAATGTTTGTCATCTGATAGCATAACGTGCACAAATAATATATTTAATGTAAATTGTTAATTAATAGATTTTTTAAAAATGCAATTTGAAAATATAATAAAAAGGAAAGTATTTTAGCTTACAATTTCTAATATCAGAAATGAATACAGCCAGTCCACGCATACCATCTCCTCTGACAGCCGGCATCTTGTCTTGTTCTATTTAAAACCACCTGTGAAATAAAATGTAAGATAAATGTGCATTTATACATATAAAAAGTATAACTTTACTTTACAAAATTTTAATCGAGAAATATATTAGCTTCTAACAATATTTCTTAAGACAATTAAAAATTTTAATGCCATAAATATTTATAGTAAAATATATACAATACTAGTTTTTATGTTATATATAAATATTTGCAGTTATGAAAGAATGTTCAATAAAAATGAATATAAACATGAAATATTCAAATAAATATATAGAGACAAATGGGACTCCATATTACTGTTTATGGGTTAATTTATGAAAATTCATTTGTAAATTTGCAAATGTATGCTGTTACTTAATGACATGCAATAGATACACAGGGGGAGGATCAAGAAAGTGATTTAAATGATATTCGTTGATTGAGAGTACTCGAACCAACAAGCTCTTCTATCCTGAAGCAACTTTAAAAGATAACTCCCTATACTACATTTCTGTTCAATATTAGATGATCAAAGTGGCATATCATGTGCACGTTAGAAACTGAAAGGGCAAGTCGCGTAAAGTAAAGGCCTATTCTAACGCTCGAAAGGAAAATCGAGTGATTAAGCCGGTACCGCGTCCTAGATTCCGACGGCAAACAGTTTTTGACAGCAGTGGGGTGCAAAGACTGATAGTGGCTCCTATTAGATGAAAACTGTTAGGATTATATTCAAGAATAACAGCAACATTCACTAAAAAATCACTCGGGAATCACCATGTATCGATTGAATAAGCAAAAAGAATATTTCGAAAAGGATAGATAGGTCGAACGATGGCTTTTTGCCTCTGATGACCTGTCGTACGGGTGGCGAGTGCCACCAGTGCGACTATGCTTTCTGATGAAAAAGGTTATCAGCTACGCATCCTGCCTATCGGATCAGTTTTAAGTACATACCAATCTGGGTTAGGGTAACGTTCACGCACGGCTCGGTCACGTAGTACTCGGTAGGCGTGAAACTATTCGCGAGTCGGTGCCAGAGATTTCGTGGCTGTCGCCATTTGCAACCGCTGACTAGCTGACGGCTGCCAGTCAAATGCCATTACGCCTGCGCTTTGAATGTTGCGCGGGCAAATTTGTATTTCGAATTCGATACATTTTCATCGATCGCCTATTTTTATGAGTATATCGCCGTTTATAATTTATGTTTGAAACAAATTCTAATTATTAATGTTGTATCTTAATTCATTACACGAAAATTTTATAATTTTATTATTATTTTTTTAATAATCATATATACGGTGTATTAATTCCTATACTTTAATATATTTTAATAAATTAGTCTAGAATCAAATAAATGTAAGTTGATATTTTGAATGATAAAATTATTCAATAAAAAATATATCTTAAAATTGAAAATTACATGATAGGAAGGTAAAAGTAGTATTTTAAAGACTAAAATCTTAAAAGACTAAAATCTCAGAATATGAATTTTTATTATATTGAAACATTAAATTAATTAACACGAATTAAATACTGTTTTTTGTTACTTAACAACATATTAAATGTGATTCAGTTTATAGAAAGGTATTTTATTGAAATTAGTCATTACATAATAAAACTTAAATAATAAAACTTATGAAAAATATGTTTATTTAAAGGTATAAATCTCTATCTTAAAGCTATACTTAAAAACTATAATATAACTTTTCACATCGATACTTGCTGTTGTATTTTCTCTAATAACATTTCTAATCTATCTTTCATTACAGGTTGACCCGTTTTTGTTTTCTTTGAAAGTTTTTTGTATGTTTGCATCTTTTTCTCTTTATATTTTTTAAGTGCTTCCTCTCTTTCTGCTTTCACTCGTAAAGTTTCTTCTTTTTGTTTACATTTTTCATCCTTCTTACGAAGGTATTCCTGCTTAGCTTTATAAAAAGCACTTTTTTTAGGGGGTTGTGTCCTTTAAGAAGAAATAAGTTTTCTTTAAAAGATAATGTGAATCTTTAAAGTTAAGTTTCTTACATCAAATTTGGCAAGTATACATACGTGTGTTCGTTTTGATTATCATCTTTGAAAACAGATGGTTTCTTTAGATTTCGTTGTTGATCCTTATCAATCTGTTTGTAGAAACTTCGTAAAATAGCTTTCTTCTTGCGTTCCTCCCATTGTTTAACTGATAAAAAGTAAGACAATTAAGAAAAGAAAATAATATTCGCAATGATATTTAACCTAACCTATACAGAAATTATATTTCTCATACAATTTTGAACATACTTTTGTATTTATTACTGTACTTCTGTAGTCTATACTTTTTCTTGTTAAATGGTTTCTTTTCATTGCCTTCTTTCATTTGTTTTCTATTAGAAATACCTTGAATACTACTCTTCATTATTATTGATAGTTTTCATGAGACTTACTTTAGTACCGCTGATAAACGCAAGGGGGACCTGAGATCAATTAAGAAGCGCGTTAAGTGATGTCAATTCAAACGGAATTTGTTCGTTCATTTAATACGAGCATATTAACCAATAACAATGTATTTATTTAAGAGAAAACAATTTGTTATTTGAAACATTTAAAGTGATATTGTATCGAAAAACACAATTAAAAATAACAACAATATCATGGATGTCTATACGTACGTAAATATGTAAATTTGTTAATACATCGACAGAAATCAAATAAGAAGTTGAATTTCGAATAAACTTTAGTTTGAAATAAAATTTCATGAACAATTAAATTGTAAATATGTTTTAACACTTGTAATGTGATATTTTTATTCCTGGTATTATTTTCCATTATTGTTAATTGATGAGAATAATTTAATAAAATATTAATGTGATACTACCTTTCTTGTTGTTGCTAAAGGTCTGATTGCAATGATTATAATATCACAGTGTACTAAGAAAAGCGAATTATAAAAGAATGGTACTTGCACAACCGAGTAAATATACTACAAATACTTGTCATCACATTACGTACTGTCAGTTTATTCGTGGCACTAACATTGGCCACCGTTGCATTTGCTTGCATATGTACTGACATTTTTTTTTGTCACACGTGGAGCAAAATGAAGGATGATAGATAATCAATTGACAGCAACATGAACATCAATACGTTTTCTAACCTGTCAATTTTGAAAATTATTTTACATAATTACTATTTTATACGTTGTTTACATAATTGTATAGTTATGTGTGTACAATATTTATGAGGTTAGTCTATACTTTTTTCTTGTTTCTTTTTTTTTTTTTTTTTTTTTTGTTAGGGAAAGGGTATAAAAAATAGGAACATGTGAAAAAAAATTCATCTTTCAACGGCTGGAAACGTAGAAGTTTTTATCGTTAAAGTTTTTATTTTACAAACAAGTTGTATTTTATGATACTATATCATATTAACAATAATATTTAGATGTCTGATGTAACTGGTATATCTGCGTTCAAGCATAGAGCAGTGAAATATGATTTAACAAGCGAGCAATTTAGACATTGAAAATTTATTCGAGGTGTATCGTTTATGTAGCAAATACAAGTGTACATGAATGCTATAAGTAGTTGCAGCCAGATCGTGTTGCAAACCCACGTAGCGCGAATGTTACAACAAACCGGTTAGGATCGTGTTTCACGGATTTACAAAGAAATCGCAGAAAATTTGGTACCATAATACTTAACCTTCCTGAAATGGTAATCTCGACCGGTGTTACATCATTGATTATGCTTCAATGTAACATGCACGTAGTTGCAAGCAAGCTAATAATTAAAATAATTCAGTTTAAGCATACCAAATTTAAATTGTCCTACTGACTATTTAACAATATATTTTTTTATCTTCGTGGCCCTGACAGTTAACCTTGAAATTCCTGTTTATAAATTTTTCAATATACAATTACAGTGTATGTATGTATATACATTTTTGTAAGCTATGTAATCAAGAATTAAAGAAATAAAAAATTTAAAATGATAAAATGGAATGAACAGCTTAAAGAAAGATAAGGAATCGTTATTTTCGGATGGCGTAAGTTATAAATTAACAAAGGTCGATTATTACAATGGATAAATCAAACAATTCAAAGTAAACTTTTTTTGTTCTAGATATCTGTGAAACAATACTACTACAATTATTGCGTCGTTTCATTAAAAAAATAATGTAAAAAGTTTAAGGTTTTATATGATTGTATTCACTAAATTGCTGAAATTGAAGAAACAATCCGAACGGACACTCAACAGTTTTGCTGAATTCTTTTTGTCCTGTTGCCAAAGTAAAAGATGGGCACTACGATATCAGACAGTGACATCACGGCGCGTTAACCTCAGGCCCCATTTGCACTCAAGTCAGTAGTAGCGATGCGAAGTCGTCGTACGACGACACCAGTCAACCTCCTCATTCAATCGTTCTAAGTAAGCCAAGTACAAATGACTATTAAGTGCTCATTGTCTGCTTACTAGCGTAGTATTGAATGAAATTACCTTTTACCATCCCAGCCGTGTTATCAACACCTACTTTCCACTCTAATAAATTGCTCGTAATTTAACGAGCGTTCGGAACGAAGAACAGCTTTCTTTTTGTTTCTTTTTCGAGTAACGAAGATTTATTAACATAATGGAACAGTCGCTCCTTCTCGTCATAACTAAAAAATTAACATCATAAAGTTATTTTTTAATATTTTCATACAAAATGTAAAAATATCGTCTTACAAATTTACTCACGATTTTCCTAAAAATTGATATATCGTTGTTTAAATGTTTCAAATCGAGATCTGTGTCTGGCTCCTTCAATCTCTTCATTAGATTTACCTAACATTTAAAATTGTGTTATGAAATAGATATTGTTTAGATCTATACTTAACCTCACACGTGTGTTATATTAAACAGATTCCACTATGAATTTTTCGTTTAAATATATATTAGAGTATAATAATTCTGTAGTTACTTACGACTTTATAAAAACTTTTTAAAAAGTGTAAATATGGTTAAGAAGATTTCGAAATTTATCTTTTTGTTTAGGTTACGTCGTGAATTGACGTTGTCGATACGGTCGTCCTTAAAGTTAATTCACTTTTTATCGTCACTTTCCATTTTCACCTTGTAAAGACACTACAACTTTTTAATCCATCGGTAATAATACTAAAAAGAAAAATACCCTAAAATGAAAAAAAAGAAAAAACAGTGAAATAATTACATCGATTATACGTATTTATCATATTCTTTATTGTCACATTTTTAATGATCTAAACAATCATATAATTTTACCTTTGTTTTCTGTTTCTTTACAGTTGAAGGAAATTGGCACATAGAAAGGTCAAGAAATGGTACCATTTCGTAGTGTACCCTCGACATTGAATCATCGAAGAATGACGGTCGAAAGGGTCGAACAGCTAAAGAATTCCTTCGGTTGAATCTGGCCTCGGATACTGTGGTTCTCTCTCGGACTTCGTCAGCTATTAATAGTCAATGGCGTGTAGCGAAGAGGTGTACTATCTTTTCTACAACCTCCGTTTAGTTGTTTTCTTCTGCATACCGTACTACTTACATATAATTGTCTGGCAAGCTGTTTCGCTCCTGCCTCTTGTCTGCTATAACAATGTAATTATTTAACGAATTATGTTGCTCGTGTTGCACCAATTACTCAATTTCGACATGAATTATGTAGAAGCTTCAAGAAATTAACTGTTTCTGATATACAGACAGAAGATCGTTTCTCGTGGGAAAAACATCAGACACATTTATTTCCCGGTGTAATACATTCTTAGGTTAAGAGATCTATATTTCAATTATTTATATTTTTAAAATTATAAATACATGTTTATTTAAAGTAAAGGTAAATAATTTTATCTAATCATAATTCGTGTTGTACAAATAATAGATAAGCGTAACTTTATTTCTTTTTCTTTTCAGTAAGGTTAAAAACAGAATAATTCAAAGGTTCCTGTATTACATTTTATTTTCACATTTTCATTGAATCTCAATTAATTTCATTGCATAGTTCATCTTAAAATGAGCGATTGCATTATCTTCAAGATAAGAATTTAAATTTAAAAGAAACTCAGAAGAAATAGAAAGCAAACTTTAATCTACAAGATAAAAATAAATAGAGCTTAAAAATAATGAAATATTTTCTTCATTACACGTATGTAAGTATATAAAAATATTATTAAGATATGAAGAGTTCGGCTCGAGACTTTCTTCCGGAAAGAAGTTTCCTCGGAGATGAAGCAACACGTATAGCGGTCAATTCGCTACGTAACAAATGAACGTAAGCTCAATCCATATTAGTAACCATTGTGACGCGTTTTATCGATCAGTGAAACTCCCACAAAGGTGACGTCATGCTAACCGCGTTCTCCCACACAGAACTGACGAGAAACTTAAGGATTCTGTAGACGTTCGAGAGAAACGTACAAGGAAGGAACGAATCGTTCTCTAGATAAGAAGCTCGAGACATCGTCTGGAGGCTCGGACACTTTGACATTGACACACTTCGTCATCAACACCGGTCTTCTCTGTTGTCCTTTATGTGCCTTTACGTTTTGCCGCCATAAATTTTAATGCTCGCTGGTAGTAGGGGTCTTTGTTTCACGGCTAGAAGGTGAACGTCGGATTTCACGAAGGCGAATACCGGCAGAGATAAAGTAGAATGAGAGTCGGACTTGTTTGATTCAAATGAGATCATCTTACTACTGCTTTTGTACATCCTCTAACTGTTTACGGAAACTTTCTTTGTTTGTTTTAAAAACGTGTAGGTAATTTCTTACAATACTCGGTAGTTGCAGTTTTTTAAAATAAAAACATTATTTTGAAAATTAAATTTTTAGATACAATTTATGTTTTTATTGAATAGGGTGTATTTCTCTTTATTTATATAGGATCTTAGTAGAATAAAGGTAATTCAGATTTTATTTTTTAAAATAAAGAATATTATTTTTATGATATGATCATATACAAATTTATTAATTACATCAAAAATATTTTTTACAGATATTAAACGATAATAAATAAATGTTAGTAAAATTACATCTAGTAATATTTTTTACCTAACATCAACTAACATTTCCATCGTTACACGAAATGAACTGAAAGATGCCAGCAGTCTCGTTTTCGTTTTTTATTCATACCCATTGCCTAGCAATCGCGCCTACGATTTCATGACTCAGTGCAAGTAACCAGGTATAACCATATTAGAGAATTTTTCGCAAGGGAATGTGATCTCTTTTTCAAATTCCCACCTCACACGTATCTTAATCCAGTCACATTCCTCATTAGGATCTTCTATGAATCTCTCCCACGAAGATTATTCATGCATGTAACGCAGTGCAGACGGGTCTGTTATTTACTCAGCTTCACCTAGCAGGGTATGATTCAGTCCACCCCCAATGATACGCGAAACTACCCCGCGAATCATCTGTCAGTGGACGTATCTCGAAGAAACATACCACGGAGCTTGATTCACCGGAAATCGCAGACGAGAGAGAAGCCGGCAAGACTATTTATGAAGAATAAGAAGGCGTCGTGACGCGTCGCTCCATTCAGTTCGGCGCGTGTGACGCGGTGCAACGCGCGAAAATAGCGACCAGCATCATTTGCAGGCGCTGATTTAACGCTGCGAAAAAAATCTCACGCAGTTCCACGGGACGTAAACAGAAAGTTATGTAGTAACCGCGGCCTTCGTGCCTCCCCGGCACGCCTGTCCAAATTAGAACACCTGAATGTTCACGCGTGATTAACAAGAATGTAGAACGACGCGTACGAAGCGAAATGGAATGCAAATGATCGTCATGCGTGATATTGTTACAGCGAGGACGTTGATGCGTGAAGAAATGTTCGAGATTTTTATTGAAGGAAATTTATACGGACGATTTGAGTTTATTATGCGAAATGAGTCATACATTGCTGTTTTAGGGACTGTTAGAAACAGTGACGAATTTCTTTTTTTGGCACTCGAGCAATTACCGAAATGCTTCATTTGCAAACGGATTTTATAGAAGAGAATGACCTTCAAATAGTTATCGTGTAAACTGAGTCAAAATACTAGTAAAATATTTTATTGCTGTTTCTAATAGCTTCTGAGAAAATAACCGAGAGATTTTTACGTTACCCATTCTGTACTAAAAATATTAATCGACAAAGTTCATAGCAACGTTTCTCAGATTTTTCCAAGTTAAAATATGAAATTTGGAGTTTTCATAGAAATCGTATAATTTAGATTTAAGAATAATTTTTCTGCACTTTATTTCGAATGGTCGTGGAATTACAAGTTAATTGGCTGGAATTTTCTCTAGATTAGCATAGAGGTTTAATGAGAAGCGTGCAAAACGTGTTCATCGGTGAAATTTCATTAAGTACAATAACTGTTGGGATGAAGTAAATTTACCAAAGACGAGACTTCGTAACTGGGTCGACATGGTAATTATTGTCTTGATGCTTTTACGAGCGTCATTGACTTCAGAAAACTCTTGATGCACCATGTAATGTAATCAGCGAATTAGTATCGTAAAAATCGGATCATCTGTGAATATCTCTCGTTAACAGGTTCAATTTTATGAACGTGACATAAAAATTCCGATTGTTGAAAAATATAGTTCTGCAAAAATTGCAAACATAATAAATGGCGTTACAAAAGTGCGTTTACATAATGATGACGAAATGAAATTTTTAGCAATCCGATATCGATAGAAATAGAATCTTCTATGCACACACGTATGCACATCTTCGAGATGGAGACAATCAATAAGGAAATGATTATATGGTCACATATTAGTCATCGTCTCTAGTATAAAACACAATCATTCGAGTTATCTGTGAAATCGTAATCTGCAGCTGCCCACTGATTCTTCTTAAATCACATGTTTATTCAGAAACTTTGTGTGTCGTGTGTACGTACGAGTAACTCGCTTCCTTACTTGCTGTTTCATGTAGGAGATCCTGTTTTTCATGTAGGAAAATATGAAACTTGAAATGCTGGTATTAATTTTTAAAGTGGAGCAAGCAACCCTTAATTTACGACATTTATGTTAAATAAAAATTCTATGTAATTTGCTTTCAACAAATATTCTGATATTTTTTAAATAAATTTCAGCCCACAAATATCTGAACTATTTCTGTTTTTCTTTTTATAAAGTTCAATAAAGGTAAAAATTAATTTATTTCATTTACAAGTAAGGAAGTATTATAATTAGGAAGTTGCCAGCTAAGATTAATTTTTAGTACAATATACATATATTTTAGAAACAGTTAATCATACTTTTTTTTTTAAATAATTCGTAAAAATAACTTATATACTATTAATTTTAATATTATCTAAAAGAAATTAAACAAAAGTATTTAAATCTTAATTTTAAAAATAGGTATATAAAAGATAGGAATAAGTAGAATAAAATATTTCAATAAACGATTTTTATTATTTATTATTAATAAAAAATGCATGCAATGAACATTTAATATGTATTGTTTATAATATTCGTTTATTAAAGATTGTATGAAAAAAATTTTGTCCAGATCTGGTCAAACTTCGTGAAATTTCGTTCCCGGTTTGGACCGCGTGTATGAACCCGAGCTCTTCCGGAAAATACCGAGCGGCGACGAACTCCCACGAACATCCGGGCGATTGCGTTGCGACTATTTAAGGAGCATTAGGTGAGCCGGGCTCATTCTTGGGCGAGACATCGTACAGAGCGGTTGTACGTGTTTGAGAACAGTATTTGCAATAATTAAAAGCAATCGTTCGTGAGAGCAGTGCTTCTTATTGATATACAAGCGAGTACCTCTTCTAGTGGCTTTTGGTGTAAAGAGACACAAGTGTGATCGAGGCAAAAATCATGGCTTCCAGTGGTATCAAACGTGATATTCCTATCAAGCTCGACCGCGACTTCAGCGTGCTCGACACCGAATTTTCCAACATACGGGAACGCTTCGAGGCTGAGATGAAAAAGATGGAGGATGAGATGACACGATTCCGTAGCGAACTGACGAATCACGAAAGTAGCTTCTTTAAGAGTGTCTCCAGGTATGTTGCTACCGGCGTTACTGCCGAGACGCACCTAACCTTTTAACACGCGTATATACACCCGGTACGATCACTCTTTTGCTTTTTTATTTTGATGAATTTCCAAAGCAGAATTGTTTTTAATTTTCTTATAACAACAAATGTCATTTGGAACACGGAATAGAATTTTTAAAGGTCAAGTTGTTGAAGTACCGCTGCTCCATCGTTAATTTTGATGATTTTTTAATAGCTTGTAGAAGTCGACATTGTGAACAATCCTTTCCTTTTTCGATAATAGACGATTGATTTTAATTTTGGCAGCATATATGTCAACGTACGATTGTCAGATATCTGTTATTTTTCTTTAAACACATTGCGTCGAATAACAACTGAAATGTATAGAGGGTGAACTCGTAAAAGAACTATCTCCTTATTAAAGCCGAATATACATTATTATCGAGAAAGGAAACAATTGTTTAAAATATATTTTATAACGTGTTCAAAAAATCATCAAAATTGGAGATGAAGAAATACTTCAACAAATTAAATCTTATTTAAAATTTTTAAACAAAATACGGATATTTGGAATGATATTTAATATAAAAAAAATTGAAAATTATAAAGATAAGAATTAAAAAGGTTGATTTAAAAAAAAAATTATATTCAAGTTGTTTAAATTTTTGTTTATATTCTTGACGGTTACAGGACGGGTATTTATTTCTTATGGCGTTCTGGAAACCTATGTTTACATAGTCATCGTATCGAATACAAATGTCGTTCCTTCTAGAATAATGTTCAGCATTATAATTCATTGTTAGCGAAATTCATCAAAGATAGTAAAAGAGAATCAGGACCGATGTTATTGGGATTAAGTTAAGTACTTTAACGCTACAGAAATAAGAAGTGCCTTCTTTACGTCAAAAGATTTTATTTTCGTTTCTTATCTCTTCTACCTTCACATTTCTATATCTATTCATTGGATAAGTAATGAGTTAAGTCGATCGATGCTACACGTTTATAATAAGAATATTATTCAGACTAAAATATTATTTACGAGAGATTACCGTTTAAGACGCGCTCAGTTCGAGTCACATGATCGATCAAGACGCGAGGTTGTTTTCCAAACTGGCCGATAAAATCAATCAATTTTATCACCGACCGGGAACCGTAGTGTGCCATGGTAACAAAACATAATTTCGACTATAGAATAGAATAGAAGGTTCGTATATAATAATAAATCACTTCGGTTATGTTTGTATATTACTTTACTAAAGGCATTCGTAAAAGTCAAATGAATGCGGAAATCAATTGTTCATTCGTTTGAAATTAGTCGACAGACGTAAAACATTCATCCCACGCAACAAGACACGCAACAGTGTCCCAAGAGCCGCCATTTCATTTTTTCTCCGGATCGATGTTTGCTCGGTTGCACAACGAGTGTTGATTTTTAGCGTGGATTAGCATAACACTGGATTCGCGTTGCCTGAATTACCTGCACATAAACATGCTTTATACACAGTGGTACAAAAGTAGCATAACAAGTGTACAAAAGTTTGATATTTAGTGATAACAATGAAATGAAGTGGCCAATTTCAACCGTTTTGGTTATATACATGTATACACGTACGTTCTTCTATGAAGGACCTTAACGTTTGGTTATGTTACCTTTGCATCATTTCGAACAAAAATTTAGTGAAGGCTTCTATAAGTGATTTTCTACGCTATTTAGATAGTATCGAACGATTCTCACGATGCGGTAAGAAATAATACAGCGCTGACAGTTCTTCGAGAGCATTCGTATAAACGTATTTATTATTGTAAGGTAATGAAACAGCGTGTAGATGTCGGTAGATGTCTATTAAGGTCGCGTCTCTGCCGTTTTTTTACACGAGTGCACACGCATGTATATTCGTTTCACGTATTTCAGTAACGTATCCGCTATTTATAGAGACTTCGTCAGTGCGTTCAGTACGAACAACGCGCGCGGAGAGCTCCCTCGACGTGCCTTTCTTGCCGGGGGGTAAACGAAAAACAAGCGATCTCGCCCGACGAAAATTTGCACCTGCTTCTCCTCCCGCGCTGCGTGCGCTCCCTCAACGGATTCGTGTTCCCTGAGACCTTGAACGTTTGATCACAGAAATCTATCTGTTCTGTTTATCTATGACATTCCTTTTTTCGTTGAAAATTATAATTTCAGTGGTAGTTAATGCTGATTAGATTAATCACAATTGAAGTGTCTTTATTTTGAACTTTACTTCCATTTTACTTAATTTTCGAAATTTCAAATTCGAACCCGATCATTAATTTTATTTTTGAATTATAATTTTTTATTCGGAATTTAGTATCTTTTACTTATATTCAGATAATATTTTATTGAATATTTAAACTAAATTTTTGTGCGTCTCATTAAAGAGTCTGAAGCTCTTCGACGATTCAAAAGCTTTTCGACTCTTTTGAATATTCGTGTCGGAATTCATACGAAACGAGCCGCGAATTCACTGGTTCGAACGAGTGCGTGCCATGTGCCACGGTTTTTGCATGCCAACACCGCAAAAGCTAACAGTCGTGTTATTTTAATAGGAGGCCTGTTCGATCTTGGATATCGTTACGCGCTATGCGTCTAAACTACTAATTATAGAATTGCCGTTCTAAATTTATTACTTGACTATTCAAAAACCGGTATTTTCTATATGGCTTCCAGCAGAAACCTAACCTATTTCTTGGACCCATTGCAACTTATTACGCATAATTACAAAAAGTTGATAAATTTACAAAAGGGATAAAACGAGTCTTGTGAACGAGGTAAAAATACATTATAATAATTACAAAATATAGTAAAATTTCATAATTTAAACGACTTTAAATTTTTTTTTAGTGCTTCAAGATATATCCAAGATATAATACTCGTCGATGGAAAGCTCTAGGGATTTTATTGTCTAGCGACGTTCACTAATGACCATAAATTTTAGAGAATCTTCGTTAGACACTTCAGAGAATATTTTCTTCCTCTGTGTTCGATAAGATTCATCAACGAAAAATAGCCTCGACCAATTTCGATGGATTCGAGTCCATCTTGGCAAATGCGAATTTGGGCCGTGCAGAATTTATCGTGAATTTCGAAATTTCTTAAACTTTATCGGCGATCTCGCACATTTTAATGAAAGCACTTCTCTGTGTAAGCTAATATAGATTCTGTTGAATTACTTGCTTTGACTAACACGCTTCTACTCGTTTGTTTTCGTCTCGGTAGTTCTTTATGGTAGTTCCAAGTGTCTTCGGACAAGGAGGTACGGAATTTTATGTGTCAGTAAAACGAGGAATGGATTAAATAGTTCTCTACTCGTTGCCGAAATTTTATGCAAACGATTGAATTCGGAGAACGATTTCGATTGTGTGTAAGATTAGATTGAAGCAGAGGATATATATAGGATAAAGAATATGTATTACATAGCTTAAGTTGTTGGCAGAAGATGCTTTCTTAAGATTGAATAAATTAGTTGCTTGTTTTACACTAGATTTGTTTAGTTGTTCTTTGTATGCAATAGATGTATAATTATTGTCAAAATTATTCAATTCGAAGAAAAGATATTGCTATTTTAATTTTGACTCATATTCGTGTCAATATTATCATACGTCTTGTAAAAGAACATCAACACAGATGGGGATTGTATGAACTAAATGTGTCCACTCCTACCAGGTTAACAGAGTAAATAGGAACATTATTCTAACGATTTGTGGCATTACATCATTGGAAATATTAAATAATCGTGGATAGTACAAACAAAAGATATCAGTTGATAATTGATAAGGATTTCACACAGGACTTAATCGAAAGACACGAAATTGGATTAGGTATTGGATAGTGGGTCAATTTTTCACCCGTCAATCGGCGATCATTATGTAAATTTATGACGTGTGTCGGTCATTAGTCGAAACGATACATTGCATAATGGGTGGCCGCTTAACGCGACTTGTTGCGCTGACAACGAACACACTTCTTCCTGTAATCTCGTTAAATGCATCGCGATACCACGCCATCGCGTCATCGAACAGGAACATTCTTTTCAATGCGAAATTCTTTACATTTCCGTGACTGATATTTCAGATAACCGATTGTCCTCGTTTGAGAGCAGCCGCTGTTACGTTTCGATAAACTCAAATATTTGAGATAAATATTTAAAGGCAAATAAAAGCGATAAATGTTCCTGGAATTTGTGAACGACTCCTGATGAATGTTTGAGGAATTTCGATATTTTGCTTGAATACCTTATGGGAAACGTTAATTAATTTTCCTGTATCGTAATTGAAATAATAAGGGAGATTTTTTTTATTGAGAAGTAAATACAAGTCACTAAATTTGTTTAGATTCTTTTTTAATTGATTATAAATTGATTTTTTAATCGATTATAAATCAGTTAAAAATCTTGTCTTAAATTATTACAAGACATATTTGTTAAATTCAAGAATATGGTGTTTTCCTCTAGTTATATATTTCCCTAGGGATGTTATTTCATTTCTTTTTGCACTTATATGCAATATTTTTTAGTTCCCTCTCTGTGCGTTATGTTCTTATATTAATAATTGATTGAATATATTAGGTGGTCAGGGTGATTCTGTAAAGATTCTCTCAGGGATAAAGTTGCCATTTATTACAACATTCGTCGTTTTCATCGTTTATTTTCCTAGAATGGACAGAAAATCATAGTTTATCACACTGCATAACTTTATATCGAGTGAATTTATAATAGCACTTACGCATTTTTGTGATACACATAAACCTAACGTCATTCAGAGATCGAACTAATGCAATCCAATCCTAAGTTGGAAAGAAACAAGAAAAACGCATTTGCAATGTTCTTACAATATCAGAGTCCAAAGTATCATTAGAGCGAATCGTTATTCCCTAACACCAACAACTCGTCGTTAGAGAGGTTATATGCGTCTGTTGCGTCAATGTTCATCCTTGACAGTGACACGTTGCGTAGCCGGTCCCCACTCGGGATCATGGACTAAATTGCAAT